CCGCTCCATGGGACTCCACCCTTACTCCCAACTGTTCTGCAAGCTCTTTTTGCGTTTGTGCCGAATTCTCAGCGTGCAGTTGCTCCAAATCATCGTTGTCGCGCTTCTGAGGGCCTCTAGGGCGTTGTTTGTCTTTTATATTAGACTAAAATCACCGCTTTTAAACCGCTTAAAGCAAAATGCGTACACATCGTACGATACAACACCTTCGCCGAGAAAGGAGCAAATCGATTCGCACGCTCTTGTAGCATTTTTTCCTTGCTGGAATTCGTAAAGTATGCAGTGTCGGATATGCACCTTATCTATTGCCATTTTCGACTGTACTGAACTGAATACGTTTGAAGGTTACGTTGGGCCTTTCGCCAAACTATATGTTCTTTTTAATAGTTATACAGGGTGAGTCTTTTCATATCCGACAAAATTTTTGAGAAGGTAGAACGGATCGAGATGAACGGAAAAGTCCTGTACCATATTGCAATTTTCGTAATAGTTAACGAGTAATTAATTATTAAAAATCGTTGTCTTAGGCCTACCGTCCAATTCGAGCGCGTGGCAAGATGTGACCGCCCGGCGATCGATATTGCTATGCGCACATCTCGCCACGCGCTCGAATTGGGCAGTAGGCCGGCCTAAGACAACGATTTTTAATAATTAATCACTCGTTAACTATTACGAAAATTGCAAAATGGTACAGGACTTTTCCATTCATCTCGATCCGTTCTACCTTCTCAAAAATGTTGTCGGATATGGAAAGACTCACCCTGTATATATGTCAACATTGTATAAACACAAAAGAGCGGGAAAATCTATTCAATTTAAAATTGATTTCATAACTGCTTAAAATAATTTGGATTATTCATTTGTACACCTAATACTTGATTATTAGCTTTGATTGTATTGCATATTCGATAAGAAATAAATTATAATTCTTACGCAAAAACAATTTTCACGCTTATCGTTAATTTATAGTGGATTCCAGATTTTTCTTCAATCTGTTTTTACATTATTCCATTATTTTCCAGGAATAAGTCTCTCAAGATAATATAAAATATTTCTCGTTGAAAAGTATATGTATATAGTAGTCTTTATGTACAAGTTTCAATGTTTTTCATTTTACCAATTCAATTGGTCAGTATATTTTTGCGTTTTGTTAAGCCATATATGTATAACAAATGCGTTGCAATCCAGTGGCTCATTACTTCAAATTACTTTTCTCTCGTGCATATTCAGCAATGTACTATGCGCGATATTCTGCTAGTAATTGTTTTCTTTAGGCACATATGGGTGTCTAGATCCCGGGTGGTGTCTTATAACATTACTAGAATTAAGGTAATAAAAAGGCGATTCATCCGCACACGTTTTTATAATGAATTACTTATTGCTCCGCTGGCATAGCAGCCTTTATATATTTATTTATTTATATACATATATATACATATCTACACATATATATAATCGTTTCAAAGGCCATCGGGCGGGGCTTATTTGTGCACGTTTATGTGACACGTCCATGTTAATCCTGACAATTGCAAGAAACTCGAGTATGTTCCTTCGACCATTGACGAAGGTGGATCATCGACTTGTGAACTAAAGGAAACATAAAGTTATCTGGAAAAGATAGTGAATCGCGTTAGTGACTGACCTGACATCAATCATTCTCGCATAGATAGGGAAATACAATTCGTTTTGTGCTATTTATATATTAATTTAGTATAGAATTTAGTGTACAAATATGAAGAAATGAAAAAGAAGGTGTAATTAATATTAGAATTACTACAGCCTCAATTAACGATGCCTGAGAACAAATAAGCAAGTTATCGGTTGAATGAATGTGAAATAATTGGTACCGTGAAGAAAAATGAAAATTATGTTAACGAATTCGTCAATGTATTGAGCGAAACGTCTATCCCCAGACGCAGTAGCACTATTACAATTTGCACGAAAATAAGAAGGTACGACTACTTCGCTATTAAAAACATTAACCGCCAACCTGAGTTTGAGTATATCAAATGTTCGATCAGCCGAAAACTAAAAACGAAGATTTTTTGTCCGAGTAAATTACAAGTGAGAAATATCGGACGTTAAATATCTGACGAGATGAAGCTGTTTGCACGTCCTAAATGCTTTTCCGAGATTATAGCACCGGTGACAACTGTCAAATGTATAGTGGGACTTCGCGCTTTCGAATATCCTCGTGGTAATACGAGACCTATACTCAGTCTGATTTATCTCGCGTTTATTTACATCACATTTTGTTGTGGCATATTACGCATGAACCAAAGATACTATGCGGGCCTTAAACTGATGAAACTGGAATATGCTTTATTGAAATTATTGATGTATATCCATCTAGTATCTGTGATATTGAAAATGCTACTAGGTTGGTGGCACACAAAGGTGAACAAAATAAATGTGCGATACATTATAGTTGTACTGTACTGCATTCATGGTATACAGGTCATAAAATACAATTTCAGAATTAAATCATGCGTATAAATTGTAAGTTTATCACATTGTAAATTTACATTTGTAGAAATTTAAAGTTTGTCTCAAGAAGATCTTTGAGATCGATGAAACGTTGCAACAGCTTGGACTGACGGTGAATTATGACAGATTATACTTCCTTATGATTGGAATCATAACTGTTTTGATAACGTTTGTTTTCGTTGTGTGGACAATGATGTTCATTCACTTGAACATAATCACGGATGTATTTACTTCAATTTATCTTCTACTCATATACACGTATTCGTTCATCGTCAACTCTATTAATATATTCGAATTCTTCATATTTGCGAAGTATGTAAATCAACTTTTTAATAATCAAGAAATTTATGTATTTATTAGATTAGTATTCATAAAATTAATAAGTGAAAAATTAATAGTCACTATTGTCTTGTTTAACTTATTATACATAATATCACCATTGAAAGTATGTTATAACAATAATTTTCTGTAATTTTGTTTTATATTATTAAGTAATACTTTCTGATTTAAATTAGATTATAGATATTAGAGTTCTAAAATACATGTTATAATATTAATATGCTTCTATACAATAATGCAGATGCTTACAAATGAAATTTAAATTGGTCAACCAACTCTTGCGCGAAAGCTTAACAGATTTATCCAAGAAAGATAAGAAATTAGGTATCTTTGAAATGAAAGATTATGAAAGGATCATGGATGCCGAGCAACAAAAGCAAGTTCTTTCCACAAAGATGATATTCCGAAGGCGTCAGCGGGTGCAGACCGGAATTAATTTTTCTATATTAATGAAGCAAAATTCGGTCGTATTTCCAACTGAATCTCATTTTCCATCTCATGTCACAAATCATTTTCAAAGCGTACTCCAAAATCAATCTCGAAGACACAATTCCACAATAACAAAATATCAAAAACCTAAACATCTTTTACAAGTAATCAAGTGAGTACAGGCCATAGGCCTAGTTTACACCGTGCGACCTGATCGCGACCTGACCTATGCCCTGACCTAAAATAGGCTTCTAAACAAAACGTTTACACCATGTAGACCTAGATACTTTTGGGTCGAATATAGGTAAAAATTTAGTCCTCATGTGAATGCCATCTTCATACATAACCAATATCGTTTGTACTTTGTTTACTCCGCACTTTAGGCGATCTTTAGGTCACCTGCGTTTACACGCGTTACGTCGTGTGACCTAATTTAGGTCAGGGCACGCGAAAAAGAGACCTGACCTAAGCGAAGTCGCAACTGTTTACATCGTCGCGACCTATCGTGTTTGGGTTGAATATAAGGTATAGGTTGCGGCCTAAACGCACGGTGTAAACTAGGCCATTATTAAGTACGTTGTTACAAAGTGAACTCTGTAAAATAAAAAATCTGTATATTACATATAAAATATTTAGATAGATATTTATTTGGCATTTTTCTTAAGTAAAAATTTATTTAATTCAGTTTTGCAGTTAACGTATTAAAAATTTGTAATTTTGTACAAATGCTTAAAATATTTAAGTCAAATTTCCTAAAAAATATTGAGAAACAAAAGACACCATTCAATAAAAATATTTCTGATTATCTTTGAGTGTTTTTAAGGCAGGTACACCTGAACGTGTGTAAAGTAACAAAAATAGTATGCAGTATTCTTGGAGTACAAATAGCTTGGGACATAGGAGTAATTATGATATCCATCACTGGGTATCTTTATAATTTGTATATTCACTACATTATGAGCAAATACGAAGTAAATTATTGGGCAGGGCCAACGGTTGCGACTTTGTCATTGTGTTCTTGGCACATTATAAAAATCTTTATTGTGAATCTCGTTTGCAAGAATGCAGCTGATGAGGTAATTGGTTTATAGTCCATAATCGAATTAACGGTCTTGATACAATAACTTTTACATAACATTTATTTATAGGGAAACAGAACCGCTGAAATAATTCATTCGATTTATGGTTGCAATACAGATATTGATATAAAGGAAGAAGTTCGTTTTTTTCAATACATTAACATATAGTTGCTGCTATATATTATCTAATTATCGCTTGAAATTGTTTTAGATTCAACAGTTTGGCCTTCAAATTTTGCAAAGCCCCGTGACATTTTCTGCGTTTAGTCTTACTTTGGACAATCGTGTCTTAAGCATGGTTCGTATCAAATTGTTGCATACGGGTGGTTGTCGTTATATCGATCATTTTGGCAAATACGACAAAGTTTACAATTAAAAACGCTAAATAATGTTCTCTTAGCACTTTTTATAAATTGTGTGGAAATAAGTTTTATAAATTTACCCCGATCATGTAATAAATGCAGTACATTTAACTTTTCTTGTTTATAGATTTTGAAAATCTTGACGACCTACATGGTTATCTTGATACAAATGGGCAATGAATTGGAATCGAATAATGCTATACATTATTCACAATTTTAAATAATGGTTGATATTAAATAATTCATTCATACCAATGGCGCTACTGCCCAGATTCAGTCTTCACATCCTCAAACTTCTCATCCTCTAGATATCCCCTTTATATATGTTAACATCCTCCAGTTCACATGAAGCATATTCCTGGTATCTCTGTCAATATTATTTTTCTACCGTGTGATCTTGACTTCTCCGCAGGTTTTCCACCTCCTGGAAGATTTCCACGAAACTCTTAGGAAATTCTCCCTTCTTTGCTGCATAAGACCCACCCCATTAACCTTCTGCCACTTTATACTTAACTAAGCTTAATAGATTTCTACATTTAGGCAAAGGTTAACACTTTTCAATCAGGCAACGTTATTCTTTATTATTCGAGTTCGTATTTTATGAAATACGTAAACAATAGGAAGTATGAAGAGGACAAATGACAATATGAGTAAATAATCAAACGGTAAACTTTATTTTGATGTATATCAATTTCGAAAACAAGCCAGATGAAACGAATATAATTACTTGATTATTAGCTTTGATTGTATTGCATATTCGATAAGAAATAAATTATAATTCTTACGCAAAAACAATTTTCACGCTTATCGTTAATTTATAGTGGATTTCCGATTTTCCTTCAATCTGCTTTTACATTATTCCATTATTTTCCAGGAATAAGTCTCTCAAGATAATATAAAATATTTCTCGTTGAAAAGTATATATAGTAGTCTTTATGTACAAGTTTCAATGTTTTTCATTTTAACAATTCAATTGGTCAGTATGTTTTTGCGTTTTGTTAAGCCATATATGTATAACAAATGCGTTGCAATCCAGTGGCTCATTACTTCAAATTACTTTTCTCTCGTGCATATTCAGCAAAGTACTATGCGCGATATTCTGCTAGTAATTGTTTTCTTTGAGCACATATGGGTGTCTAGATCCCGGGTGGTGTCTTATAACATTACTAGAATTAAGGTAATAAAAAGGCGATTCATCCGCACACGTTTTTATAATGAATTACTTATTGCTCCGCTGGCATAGCAGCCTTTATATATTTATTTATTTATATACATATATATACATATCTACACATATATATAATCGTTTCAAAGGCCATCGGGCGGGGCTTATTTGTGCATGTTTATGTGACACGTCCATGTTAATCCTGACAATTGCAAGAAACTCGAGTATGTTCCTTCGACCATTGACGAAGGTGGATCATCGACTTGTGAACTAAAGGAAACATAAAGTTATCTGGAAAAGATAGTGAATCGCGTTAGTGACTGACCTGACATCAATCCTGACAAATTATATATTAATTTAGTGTAGAATTTAGTGTACAAATATGAAGAAATGAAAAAGAAGGTGTAATTAATATTAGAATTACTACAGCCTCAATTAACGATGCCTGAGAACAAATAAGCAAGTTATCGGTTGAATGAATGTGAAATAATTGGTACCGTGAAGAAAAATGAAAATTATGTTAACGAATTCGTCAATGTATTGAGCGAAACGTCTATCCCCAGACGCAGTAGCACTATTACAATTTGCACGAAAATAAGAAGGTACGACTACTTCGCTATTATAAATATTAACCGCCAACCTGAGTTTGATTATATCAAATGTTCGATCAGCCGAAAACTAAAAACGAAGATTTTTTGTCCGAGTAAATTACAACTGAGAAATATCGGACGTTAAATATCTGACGAGATGAAGCTATTTGCACGTCCTAAATGCTTTTCCGAGATTATAGCACCGGTGACAACTGTCAACTGTATAGTGGGACTTCGCGCTTTCGAATATCCTCGTGGTAATCCGAGACCTATACTCAGTCTGATTTATCTCGCGTTTATTTACATCACATTTTGTTGTGGCATATTACGCATGAACCAAAGATACTATGCGGGCCTTAAACTGATGAAAGTGGAATATGCTTTATTGAAATTATTGATGTATATCGTTCTAGTATCTATGATATTGAAAATGCTACTAGGTTGGTGGCACACAAAGGTGAGCAAAATAAATGTGCGATACATTATAGTTGTACTGTACTGCATTCATGGTATACAAGTCATAAAATACAATTTCAGAACTAAATCATGCGTATAAATTGTAAGTTTATCACATTGTAAATTTACATTTGTAGAAATTTAAAGTTTGTCTCAAGAAGATCTTTGAGATCGATGAAACGTTGCAACAGCTCGGACTGACGGTGAATTATGACAGATTATACTTCCTTATGATTGGAATCATAACCGTTTTGATAACGTTTGTTTTCGTTGTGTGGACAATGATGTTCATTCACTTGAACATAAGCACGGATGTATTTACTTCAATTTATCTTCTACTCATATACACGTATTCGTTCATCGTCAACTCTATTAATATATTCGAATTCTTCATATTTGCGAAGTATGTAAATCAACTTTTTAATAATCAAGAAATTTATGTATTTATTAGATTAGTATTCATAAAATTAATAAGTGAAAAATTAATAGTCACTATTGTCTTGCTTAACTTATTATACATAATATCACCATTGAAAGTATGTTATAACAATAATTTTCTGTAATTTTGTTTTATATTATTAAGTAATACTTTCTGATTTAAATTAGATTATAGATATTAGAGTTCTAAAATACATGTTATAATATTAATATGCTTCTATACAATAATGCAGATGCTCACAAATGAAATTTAAATTGGTCAACCAACTCTTGCGCGAAAGCTTAACAGATTTATCCAAGAAAGATAAGAAATTAGGCATCTTTGAAATGAAAGATTATGAGAGGATCATGGATGCCGAGCAACAAAAGCAAGTTCTTTCCACAAAGATGATATTCCGAAGGCGTCAGCGGGTGCAGACCGGAATTAATTTTTCTATGAAGCAAAATTCGGTCGTATTTCCAACTGAATCTCAAAGTCCATCTCATGTCACAAATCATTTTCAAAGCGTACTCCAAAATCAATCTCGAAGACACAATTCCACAATAACAAAATATCAAAAACCTAAACATCTTTTACAAGTAATCAAGTGAGTACAGGCCATAGGCCTAGTTTACACCGTGCGACCTGATTGCGACCTGACCTATGCCTTGACCTAAAATAGGCTTCTAAACAAAACGTTTACACCATGTAGACCTATGATACTTTTAGGTCGAATATAGGTAAAAATTTAGTCCTCATGTGAATGCCATCTTCATACATAACCAATATCGTTTGTACTTTGTTTTCTCCGCACTTTAGGCGATCTTTAGGTCACCTGTGTTTAGACGCGTTACGTCGTGTGACCTAATTTAGGTCAGGGCACGCGAAAAAGAGACCTGACCCAAGCGAGGTCGCAACTGTTTACATCGTCGCGACCTATCGTGTTTGGGTTGAATATAAGGTATAGGTCGTGGCCTAAATTCACGGTGTAAACTAGGCCAATTATTAAGTACGTTGTTACAAAGTGAATTCTGTAAAATAAAAAATCTGTATATTACATATAAAATATAAAATATTTAGATAGATATTTATTTGGCATTTTTCTTAAGTAAAAATTTATTTACTTCAGTTTTGCTGTTAACGTATTAAAAATTTGTAATTTTGTATAAATGCATAAAATATGCAAGTCAAATTTCTTAAAAAATATTGAGCAACAAAAGACAACATTCAATAAAAATATTTCTGATTATCTTTGAGTGTTTTTAAGGCAGGTACACCTGAAAGTGTGTAAAGTAACAAAAATAGTATGCAGTATTCTTGGAGTACAAATAGCTTGGGACATAGGAGTAAATATGATAGTCCTCACTGGGTATCTTTATAATTTGTATATTCACTACATTATGAGCAAATGCGAAGTAAAATATTGGGCAAGGCCAACGGTTGCGACGTTGTCATTGTGTTCTTGGCACATTATAAAAATCTTTATTTTAAATCTCGTTTGCAAGAATGCAGCTGATGAGGTAACTGGTTTATAGTCCATAATCGAATTAACGGTCTTGATACAATAACTTTTACATAACATTTATTTATAGGGAAACAGAACCGCTGAAATACTTCATTCGATTTATGGTTGCAATACAGATATTGATATAAAGGAAGAAGTTCGTTTTTTTCAATACATTAACATATAGTTGCTGCTATATATTATCTAATTATCGCTTGAAATTGTTTTAGATTCAACAGTTTGGCCTTCAAATTTTGCAAAGCCCCGTGACATTTTCTGCGTTTAGTCTTACTTTGGACAATCGTGTCGTAAGCATGGTTCGTATCAAATTGTTATTATACATACTGGTGGTTGTCGTTATATCGATCATTTTGGCAACTACGACAAAGTTTACAATTAAAAACGCTAAATAATGTTCTCTTAGCACTTTTTATAAATTGTGTGGAAATAAGTTTTATAAATTTACCCCGATCATGTAATAAATGCAGTACATTTAACTTTTCTCGTTTATAGATTTTGAAAATCTTGACGACCTACATGGTTATCTTGATACAAATGGGCAATGAATTGGAATCGAATAATGATATACATTATTCACAATTTTAAATAATGGTAGATATTAAATAATTCATTCATCCCAATGGCGCTACTGCCCAGATTCAGTCTTCACCTCCTCAAACTTCTCATCCTCTAGATATCCCCTTTATATATGTTAACATCCTCCAGTTCACATGAAGTATATTCCTGGTATCTCTGTCAATATTATTTTCCTACCGTGTGATCTTGACTTCTCCGCAGGTTTTCCACCTCCTGGAAGATTTCCACAAAACTTTTAGGAAATTCTTCTTTCTTTGCTGCATAAGTCCCACCCCATTAACCTTCTGTCACTTTGTACTTAACTAAGCTGAATAGATTTCTACATTTAGGCAAAGGTTAACACTTTTCAGGCAACGTTATTCTTTATTATTCGAGTTCGTATTTTATGAAATACGTGAACAATAGGAAGTATAAATCGGACGAATGACAATATGAGTAAATAATCAAACGGTAAACTTTATTTTGATGTATATTCATTTCGAAAACAAGCCAGATGAAACGAATACAATTACTTGATTATTAGCTTTGATTGTATTGCATATTCGATAAGAAATAAATTATAATTCTTACGCAAAAACAATTTTCACGCTTATCGTTAATTTATAGTGGATTCCCGATTTTCCTGCAACCTGCTTTTACATTATTCCATTATTTTCCAGGAATAAGTCTCTCAAGATAATATAAAATATTTCTCGTTGAAAAGTATATATAGTAGTCCTTATGTACAAGTTTCAATGTTTTTCATTTTAACAATTCAATTGGTCAGTATATTTTTGCGTTTTGTCAAGCCATATATGTATAACAAATGCGTTGCAATCCAGTGGCTCATTACTTCAAATTACTTTTCTCTCGTGCATATTCAGCAATGTACTATGCGCGATATTCTGCTAGTAATTGTTTTCTTTTAGCACATATGGGTGTCTAGATCCCGGGTGGTGTCTTATAACATTACTAGAATTAAGGTAATAAAAAGGCGATTCATCCGCACACGTTTTTACAATGAATTACTTATTGCTCCGCTGGCATAGCAGCCTTTATATATTTATTTATTTATATACATATATATACATATCTACACATATATATAATCGTTTCAAAGGCCATCGGGCGGGGCTTATTTCTGCACGTTTATGTGACACGTACATGTTAAACCTGACAATTGCAAGAAACTCGAGTATGTTCCTTCGACCATTGACGAAGGTGGATCATCGACTTGTGAACTAAAGGAAACATAAAGTTATCTGGAAAAGATAGTGAATCGCGTTAGTGACTGACCTGACATCTATCATTCTCGCATAGATAGGGAAATATAATTCGTTTTGTGCTATTTATATATTTAATTATATAATTTAATATAGAATTTAGTGTACAAATATGAAGAAATGAAAAAGAAGGTGTAATTAATATTAGAATTACTACAGCCTCAATTAACAATGCCTGAGAACAAATAAGCAAGTTATCGGTTGAATGAATGTGAAATAATTGGTACCGTGAAGAAAAATGAAAATTACGTTAACGAATTCGTCAATGTATTGAGCGAAACGTCTATCCCCAGACGCAGTAGCACTATTACAATTTGCACGAAAATAAGAAGGTACGACTACTTCGCTTCTATAAATATTAACCGCCAACCTGAGTTTGAGTATATCAAATGTTCGATCAGCCGAAAACTAAAAACGAAGATTTTTTGTCCGAGTAAATTACAACTGTTAAATATCGAACGAGATGAAGCTATTTGCACGTCCTAAATGCTTTTCCGAGATTATAGCACCGGTGACAACTGTCAACTGTATAGTGGGACTTCGCGCTTTCGAATATCCTCGTGGTAATCCGAGACCTATACTCAGTCTGATTTATCTCGCGTTTATTTACATCACATTTTGTTGTGGCATATTCATACACCAAAAAAACTATCCGGACTTTAGACTGATGAAACTGGAATATGTTGTATACAAATTAACGACGTACATCGTTCTAGTATCTGTGATAGTGAAAATGTTACTAGGTTGGTGGCACACAAAGGTGAGCAAAATAAATGTGCGATACATTATAGTTGTACTGTACTGCATTCATGGTATACAAGTCATAAAATACAATTTCAGAACTAAATCATGCGTATAAATTGTTATTTTATCACATTGTAAATTTACATTTGTAGAAATTTAAAGTTTGTCTCAAAAAGATCTTTGAGATCGATGAAACGTTGCAACAGCTGGGACTGACGGTGAATTATGACAGATTATACTTCGTTATGATTGGAATCATAACTGTTTTGATAACGTTTGTTTTGGTTATATGGATATGGACTATGTTCATTCACTTGCACACAAGCACGGATGTATTTACTTCAATTTATCTGCTACTCATAAAGACGTATTCGTTCATCGTCAACTCTATTAATATATTCGAATTCTTCATATTTGCAAAGTATGTAAATAAACTTTTTCAGAATCAAGAAATTTATGTACTTATTAGATTAGTATTCAAAAATTAATAAGTAAAAAATTAATAGTCGCTATTGTCTTGCTTAACTTCTTATACATAATGTCAACACTGAAAGTATATTATAATAATGTTTTGTAATTTTGTTTTATATTATTGAATAATACTTTCTGATTTATTGTTCATTTCGCGAAGATAAGACATACTATCACTGATTTATAATATTTAACATGCTTCTATACAATAATGCAGATGCTCACAAATAAAATTTAAATTGGTCAACCAACTTTTGCGCGAGAGCTTAACAGATTTATCCAAGGAAGATAAGAAATTAGGCATTTTTGACATGAAGGATTATGAGAGGATCATAGATGTCGAGCAACAAAAGCAAGTTTTTTCCACAAAGATGATATTCCGAAGGCGTCAGCGGGTGCAGACCGGAATTAATTTTTCTATATCGAAGAAGCGAGATCCGGTCGTATTTCAAACTGAATCTCACTTTCCATCTCATGTCACAAATCATTTTCAAAGCGTACTCCAGAATCCACCTCGAAGACACAATACCACAATAACAAAATGTGAAAAACCTAAACATCTTTTACAAGTAATCAGGTGAGTACAGGCAATTATTAAGTACGTTGGTACAAAGTAAACTCTGTAAAATAAAAATCTGTATATTACATACCTGTATAAAATATAAAATATTGAAATAGATATTTATTCGGTATATTTCTTAGGTAAAAATCGATTTAAGTCAGTTTTGCCGTTAACGTATTTAAAAGTTGTAATTTTATGTAAACGCTAAAAATATTCAAGTCAGACTTCTTAAAAAATTGTTGAGAAACAAAAGACAACATTCAATAAAAATATTTCTGATTATCTTTAAGTGTTTTTAAGACAGGTACACCTGAAAGTGTGTAAAGTAACGAAAATAGTATCCACTATCCTTGGAGTACAAGTAGCTTGGGACATAGGAGTGATTATGATGGCTCTTATCGTATCTTTTTATCATTTGTATATTCGATACATTATGAGCAAACACGATATAAAATATTTGACAGAACAGACGTTTGTGACGTTGTCATTGTGTTCTTTTCACGTTATGAAAATCTTTACTCTGAATCGCGTTTGCAAGAATGCAGCTGATGAGGTAACTGATTTTATAGTCCACAATCGAATTAACGATCGAGATACAGTAACTTTTACATAACATTATTTATAGGGAAACAGAACCGCTGAAATCATTCATTCGATTTATGGTTGCAATACAGATATTGATATAAAGGAAGAAGTTCGTTTGTTGCAATGCATTAACATATAGTTGCTGCTATATATTATCTAATTATCGCTTGAAACTGTTTCAGATTCAACAGTTTGGCCTTCAAGTTTTGCAAAGCCCAGTGACATTTTCTGCGTTTAGTCTTACTCTGGACAATCGTGTCTTAAGCATGGTTCGTATCAAATTGTTACATACGGGTGGTTGTCGTTATATCAACCATCTTGACAAATAGGAAAAGATTTACAATTACAAACGCTAAATAATGTTCTCTTCACACTTTTTATAAATTGTGTGGAAATAAGTTTTATAAATTCACCCCGATCATATAACAAATGTAGTGTATTTAACTTTTCTTGGTTATAGATTTTGATGATCCTGACGACCTACATGGTTTTCGTGATACAGATGGGCAATGAATTGGAATCGAATAATGCTATACCTCATGCACAAGTTTAAATAATTGTAGATATTAAATAATTAATTCATTCCAATAGCGCTACTGGCCCTTATTCAGTCTTCACCTCCTCAAACTTCATCCTCTAAATACCCTCTTTATATGTATACGTTAACATCCTGCGGTTTACATGAAGAATATTCCTGGCAGCTCTGTTAATATTATTTTCCTACCGTGTGATATTGACTTCTCCGCAGGTTTTCCACCTCCTGGAAGATTTCCACGAAACTTTTAGGAAATTCTTCCTTCTTTGCTGCATAAGTCCCACCCCATTAACCTTCTGCCACTTTATACTTAACTAAGCTTAATAGATTTCTTCATTTAGGCAAAGGTTAACACTTTCAGGCAACGTTATTCTTTATTACTCGAGTTCGTATTTTATGAAATACGTAACCAATAGGAAGTATAAAGCGGACGAATGACAATATGAGTAAATAATCAAACGGTAAACTTTATTTTGATGTATATTAATTTCGAAAACAAGCCAGATGAAACGAATATAATTATTAGGTGTACAAATGAATAATCCAATTTTTTCACACTACATTCAGGGTTTATTTTAAAAGAAAGTAAATGAAATTGTTCAATCAAAGTATTCGCCGTTGCTTTCTATAACTTTAAGCCATCTTTCAGGCAACTGATGAATTCCATCTCGGAAAAATGTTACGTCTTTGGATACGATAAAGCCATTTTCGGATCTCATCCACTGTTTGGAAGTGCATATCGAACAAGGCGTGTTGCATCGACCGGAACAAGTGGTAATCGGATGGAGCAATATCTGGTGAATACGCCGGGTGCTGCAAGACGTCCCAGCCAAGACTCATTATGGTGTCTTTTGTATTGGAAGCAATGTGTGGCCTGGCGTTGTCATGCAACAATTTCACTGGACGTTCTCCTTTGCCAGTATAACGTTTTCGTTCCAATTCTTGACTCAAACAGATTAATTGACGTTGGTAGCAGTCCGCAGTAACTGTTTCACCCGGTTCCAACAACTCATAATAAAGCCCTTGATATCCCACCAAATGCAGAGAAGAACCTTCTTTCCGAAGCGATTGGGTTTTGCGACCGATTTTGATGATTCGCCGGGATTTATCCATGACTTTCTGCGTTTCGGATTGTCATAGAGTATCCATTTCTCATCGCCCGTAACGATTTTCCACAAGAAAGATTT